CATCCAGACCCCCATCCAAAACAATAAATCTGTTCTAGTGAGTTCTGGTGCGTTGGTTCATTGCGTATGCGGGGGTCATATATGCTACCACTAAGTGGTATCTAGTTAATTCTCACTCCCTGCTGACACAGTGTGGACAGTTCAGTGTTTCTGTGAGAATATGTGAACAGAGGAAAACAGAACCTGTTGTATGTTAGAAAACATGACGTCAGCTGAGAGAGCAACACAAAACCAGATGTCCTGTTTGGTGTTTCTGCTCCACCTTCGACCTCCTGACACAGACTTTTATTTTTTACCTTCAAATTCTCTTTTAGCAGCAGGGCTGTAACAGAACATGTGCTGCGACAGTGCACACGTTTAGCTGGAGCAAAGCGCTCCATAACAAATGAGTTTGTCTCAGGAGATCATCTGCTCATCTAGAAACAGGAACATGTTTTATTTAATTTCTCTAAGAGCTGTGACAGAACAAATAGAGAACAAAAACAAACAAAACCTGGTTTAAAGCTTAAAAACCTGCTTGTTTGTTTCAAATCAGCTGTGCAGACATGTCTCCTGTGACCAGAGGGGCGTGTAGGGCAAGCAGGAACGTCACATAATGTCATGTCCCAAAGCACCCTCACTAAATATCCTGAATACTGCTACAGTTATTGTTTGATTTATCATTCACAATCATAAAAAGGTTAAAAAAGTTTGTGTCTAAAGCAGCTGATGTTTGTGGCAGTTTTACTAACTTTATCAATTCAATGGTTTTGTCTTTACTTGATCCTGTTTGGCTCCTCAGACGAGCTGGAATCTATTGAAACTGTGTTAGGCTGAAAGCAGAGTTGAAACAAAGCAGGTTATGGATTGGATTCATTTTAGTCTGCAAACATTATGACTAGATGAAAACAGTAATTAAATCATTTAAAACGTTCTGCTCAAGATTCCAACTAGTTCAGGTTATTTTCAAATCAAGCCATTTAAAAACCAGATAAATGCAATGATCTGTTCTTATTTACCTTTTACTGCAGCATCAGCAAGGAGAAGATTTTCTTTACTTAGTGTTTTTGATGGACTTTTTGTTGTTTTTATGAATTAAGTTAAATAAATAATAAAAACAAATTTTAAATGAGAACGCAGAAAATTATTAAACTAGAAACTTAATGTTTGAGGCAGCATGGTGGATCAGTTGGTGGAGCTGATGCCTCTCAGCAAGAAGGTTGCCGGATCAAATCCCGGCCCGGGGACCTTTCTGGGTAGAGTTTGCATGTTCTCTCTGTGCATGTGTGGGTTCTCTCCGGGTACTCCTGCTTCCTCTCACACACCAAAAACATGRCTGTTAGGTTAATTGGTAACTTTAAARTGTCYCTAAGTGAGAGAGTGAATGGTTGTTTGTCYCTGTGATGGACTTGYGACCTGTCCARGGTGTACCCCACCCCTCCCACTGTGACTGCTGGACATGGGCACCAGTGACCCTGAAAGGAAGGAGCAGGTATAGGTAACAATAACAGTGTTCAGTTCATGGGGAGCTGGTGTTCATGTCCAGTCGTCCCTGTGAGAAGCTGGAACCATCCTGGACAGATCTCTGTAAAACCCATATGGAGAAGAACTCCACCCAGAGAGACTTCGGACCTGGAGTTGATCCTCCAGTTCTAAAGACCTCGACACACGAGGAGCGACAAACTACAGCGATTAACGGCTGTTATCGCAGCCAGGATGAAACCCGACACACRRGRMRCGATRGCGATTGCAGYGTTGTGAATCGTGCTCTYGGGTYGTTTGTCTTCTTGAAATTTGWTTGGTTCTTCTRCTGCYTCTTGYAMAGGTTATTGGTGGTTCACAAAAAAGRGGGGTGTGCATTAYGGATGTGTAAACYAAACAAATCTTGYGATGCTAATGATATTGAAAAACAAACACACACCACTATACAATTTTATGAGGAAAAACTTACCATAAACTTCACCCTGGCATCAGTAAATTCCCACAAAGCTGCCTTTTTTAGTAATCCCTTGGTGAAAGTGTTAGCTAACTGCTGTGTGTAGCATACTCTCCTCTCATTGGTCAGTGAATGAAACCCTCGCTGATTGGTTGAACGCTAAGTGACAGCGACAAAAGTTGAACATTTTTCAACTTCGCAAGCTCGCGTGTGCACGTCTATGTGTACAAGCGCAAAATTTCACATGCACTATTTTCGCCGGTCGCTTAGCTGGAGGAGAGCGAGCGACGTCGCCTCTCGTGTGTCGAGCCCTTAACTGATATTTAATCCAATAGATAAACCATTGGGTTCCTCCCTCAGTTGCTGCAACCCACCGTTATTTCAATGGATACAGTTTGTTGCAGCAGCAACACAAGGAAACAGTTGTGATTCTTCATTTGACTCAAAAAGTTAAAACATCAGACCAGACCAGCTTGGACCTGGCAGTCCAACATGGCTGCCTCGGACTGTAAAAGTAGTGAAACTCTGATGGTTGTTAGCCTGGCTCCCCGTCACCTTTTTCAGATCCTCATATTTTTACAGGTTGCAACGGGAATTCTGCAAACTTTAACCTGACGTGGTTTACTGATCAGACCTCTGAGGTAAACAGAACTACCTTAAATCTGCAACTTGCTGGCGTCTTTACAAAGTATCCTCTCCATGGTGACGGATGCAGAAATAATAGTTTGCATCTAATGGCTGATCTGTGTATCTTTAATTTTTTATCATCTGGTGTTGGTATATTTAACGTTTGAGCTCATGGCCTCTGACTTCCTTTATTCATGCCTTCATGTGGGGGTGATGTGAGTGGGAACACAGTTCGCTGCACATCCATACAGTCGAATACTGAACTGCTTCTGTTCAAAACATTCTTTTATGTTTCCTCTCGCCACTCATGGAAAACATGCTAAATGTGATGTCAGTCTCAGAGCTGCAGCTCAGGGCTTTCTGGTCATTTCAGAGACATTTTGCTGACTTCTAGTTAGATCTTTGTCTCCTTTGTGCTTCTTTAACTGTGAAAAAGAAAACATCCCAACATGAAACTAGAGAAACTGCATTTCCTTTGAAAATGCTATAGCATGAATGCTTATTGCTGAAAACTTTAGCTGAAAATGTTTAATAGCAAAACAGTTAAAGCGGGTTCAATGTGAAAAGCTGAAAGAAGCATAAAAAGTTTAAATTAGCATATATATATAT